ACTCTATAATTATAAATTAATAATTCATAAAAGAATATTAGCCAAGTTTATGGTAGAATACATCAATTTAACAAAACTGTAATATTCAGAAAGGGTTTTGTGAAGATTTCAATATTCCAAAGTTGAAATCACGGCTCAAAACTGGTAGATCCTGGGTTCGAATCTCGTGGGTGCGGGATCGTGGATGCGCACTGCTGAGGAGTCCTATAATAAGACGAAACGACCGTCCAGTGCTTCCAGGTTTTCGATGGTGGTCCAGCTTCAATCGACTCATGATTACAACTTTGAAAAACTGTAATATGTTGTTTATCATATAAAATAAGATCGAATCGTTAATGTTCCAACTGACTTATATGAAGTGTTAACTTCAATCAGTTTTGTAGATGAAATAAAATCATAAGATAAAATGATGATCAGAATATATGCATAGTTGACATGGGGGGAGGGTGAGAGATAGAAAAATCGGATTACAAATCAGAAATTACGTAATATGTAGAATTATCTAAATTAGGTCAGATATAGTAGTAGATAGGGGGTGGATGATAAATAAATTTCTTTAAAAGGTTAGCAAGTGTGATAATAATAATAATAATAATAAGAAGAAGAAGAAGAAGAAGAAGAATGACTGATAAGATGTGTAAATAAAGTAAGTTTAAGATATAGAAATGAACATTAATCAAATTAATGTTACCATATTCACAAAATTGATTATTCACAAGTTGACCGTGAAGTTGGTCAGGGTAAAAGGAGCGGCTGTACATATTTCTTTTGGATGCAGAGCTCTGGCTTTTTGATCCGAATAGCAATTGCCTCAGCCGTCTGCAGGATTCTCTCTCTGACAGAATTAGGTAAACTACCATTAACACGATATATTACTGTGAAGGATGTTGGCTCTATATCCCGTCTGAACTAAATGGGCTAAAGCAGAGCTGTTAACCGTTCTCACTGCACATTTGCTTAACCACACTGGAAGGTGTTCACGTGCCAGAGTATACAAATTCCTAGAACATCTGTCTATATAACTTGCTCCACAGGAGCAGTTGAATTGATAGATACAGAAAGAAGTGGTTAGTCTAGGCAATTTATTTTTCAACGTCGGCATGATCATCGGGCGTGTGGAAAATATTAGTTGTAGTTTACCTGCATTAAATTATATTTGAAATAGTTAGTCAGCAATTGAAATTGAAATAGTAATTCCAACGTTTCGTCCAACTAACTTGTCTGGACTTCTTCAGGGTAATAATCAAAATCAAAATCATCAAAGAAATATATACTGTTTTTTGCTTAACAATCATATCATCAAAATCTCTAATACTTTTTAATCCAATCATATTTGGATGTTGAAGTTTTTGTAAACAGAATAATATGCGTCAATTGAATGAGAATCAAGTGAAAAGTCCAACGATGTGAATTAAAGGAGATTGGATGAATTGTGTGTGTGTGTGTGTGTGTGTGTGTGTAAGATGAGTTATTAATGATGAATGATATTCAGTGTTGATATGTTTCTATGTGAAGTAAAAATAAAAGTGCAAAAATGAAGGTTGAAAAGTTGTTTCTCAATCATCAATTTGCAAATAAAATGAGAATCATCATCATGTACATAATTGTAATGCTAAACATAACTCATATTGATTTCAGTCATAATAACGATTCATGTGAAGTAGACAGGTTGAATAAAAGAAGAAAAGGTCAAATTACTTGTTGATGAATATTTGCCAAGTGGTAGCTAGCTGAATACCATCCTATCTGCTTAGGCTTTTCTTATTCGCCCATATATACAGCGCTTCTGCTGTCAATCTTTCTTTATGAGTGTTGAAACCTTTCTGAAGTATTTTGACCCCTTGAAAATTCATCATGTGTCCCGTTTCCAACGCATGTAACGCTATTGCAGACGCATTCTCAAGTTTCCTTAAGTCAAGCGAAGTTTTGGGAACATTTTTTAAACATTGTTTGTGTTCCTTCAACCTTACCTTCAATTGTCTGGATGTTTCTCCAATATAAGCCGCATTATAATCATGACAATTGATCTCATAGACAATATTTTGTTGTTCTTCCTTTGGTAACCTATCCTTAACCTTCAACAATGACGATCTTATAGTGTCACATGTTCTAAAATACACTCTTATATCATGCTTGTTTAAGATCCGTTTGATTTCTTCCGATGTTTCACTACGGTATGGTATGATTACAGTGGACTTCCAATCTTTCTGTATACATTGTAGTTTAGCTCTCCTTTCCTTTCTAACAATCTTCTTTAAAAACTCTTTTAGGTAGTTGTTATCCCTAAGTGTAGATAAAATCCTATTCAATTCATGTTGTTGGTCTTCCTTATTTGTAACAAGCTTAAGACTTCTGTTAATTAAATTTTTAACAACTGTGACTTTCGTACATAAACCATGGGCCGTATCAAAATCTAACTATCTTTCTCAATGTGTTGATTTTATTCAACCTGTCTACTTCACATGAATCGTTATTATGACTGAAATCAATATGAGTTATGTTTAACATTACAATTTATGTACTTGATGGTAATTCTCATTTTTACTTGCAATTTCGATGATTCAGAAAAAAAAGAGAAAACATTTCAACCTTCATTTTGCACTTTTATTCTTATTTTTTACTTTACATAGAAACATATCAACACTGAATATCATTCATCATTAATAACTCATCTTACACACACACACACACACACACACACACAATTCATCCAATCTCCTTTAATTCACATCGTTGGACTTTTCACTTGATTCTCATTCAATTGACGCATATTATTCTGTTTACAAAAACTTCAACATCCAAATATGATTGGATTAAAAAGTATTAGAGATTTTGATGATATGATTGTTAAGCAAAAAACAGTATATATTTCTTTGATGATTTTGATTTTGATTATTACCCTGAAGAAGTCCAGACAAGTTAGTTGGACGAAACGTTGGAATTACTATTTCAATTTCAATTGCTGACTAACTATTTCAAATATAATTTAATGCAGGTAAACTACAACTAATATTTTCCACACGCCCAATGATCATGCCGACGTTGAAAAATAAATTGCCTAGACTAACCACTTCTTTCTGTATCTATCAATTCAACTGCTCCTGTGGAGCAAGTTATATAGACAGATGTTCTAGGAATTTGTATACTCTGGCACGTGAACACCTTCCAGTGTGGTTAAGCAAATGTGCAGTGAGAACGGTTAACAGCTCTGCTTTAGCCCATTTAGTTCAGACGGGATATAGAGCCAACATCCTTCACAGTAATATATCGTGTTAATGGTAGTTTACCTAATTCTGTCAGAGAGAGAATCCTGCAGACGGCTGAGGCAATTGCTATTCGGATCAAAAAGCCAGAGCTCTGCATCCAAAAGAAATATGTACAGCCGCTCCTTTTACCCTGACCAACTTCACGGTCAACTTGTGAATAATCAATTTTGTGAATATGGTAACATTAATTTGATTAATGTTCATTTCTATATCTTAAACTTACTTTATTTACACATCTTATCAGTCATTCTTCTTCTTCTTCTTCTTCTTATTATTATTATTATTATTATTATCACACTTGCTAACCTTTTAGAGAAATTTATTTATCATCCACCCCCTATCTACTACAAATATCTGACCTAATTTAGATAATTCTACATATTACGTAATTTCTGATTTGTAATCCGATTTTTCTATCTCTCACCCTCCCCCCATGTCAACTATGCATATATTCTGATCATCATTTTATCTTATGATTTTATTTCATCTACAAAACTGATTGAAGTTAACACTTCATATAAGTCAGTTGGAACATTAACGATTCGATCTTATTTTATATGATAAACAACATATTACAGTTTTTCAAAGTTGAAATCATGAGTCGATTGAAGCTGGACCACCATCGAAAACCTGGAAGCACTGGACGGTCGTTTCGTCTTATTATGGGACTCCTCAGCAGTGCGCATCCACGATCCCGCACCCGCGAGATTCGAACCCAGGATCTACCAGTTTTGAGCCGTGATTTCAACTTTGAAATATTGAAATCTCTACAAAACCCTTTCTGAATATTACAGTTTTGTTAAATTGATGTATTCTACCATAAACTTGGCTAATATTCTTTTATGAATTATTAATTTATAATTATAGAGTATCTGATGAGAAATTCATTGAATAGAATATTCTTCATTCATATTTATTGTAGTTTAACCGAATCATTGTGTTGACATAATCACATTGAATTGATTGAGTACATTAGTTTCTTTCTGTTTTGTTTTTCATTCATGTAAATCATCATCATCATCATCATCATCATCATCATCATCATCATCATCATCATCATCCAAATCATCATCATCATCATCATCCAAATCATCATCATCAAGTTAACATCTCAGACTTACCATTTGTTTACCTTTCTCTTTGTAGATGGATTGGATCTATCTGATTTGTGTAATAGTTTGTTTATTTCTCGTTAAACAACTCATA